TGTTATCACTACCTCCAGTGGTTACCTTGCCCATCGAAAAGCAGACAATATATATATATATATATATATATATACACACATACAGTATATATATACTGTATGTGTATATATATATTTTTTTTTAATTTTTAATTTTAATTTTTAATATATAGATTATATACTTCACATATTCAACATACCACACAGGTTGTGTGACAGGTTATTGCACTGGTAGTGACACTGAGGTTGAATTATTAGTTAATTATTGTCAGTTGTTCAGTGTTATTTATCAAGAGTTCTGTAATCTGACAGCTTGTGGATAACAACTGTCCTTTAGTCTTTTTGTACGTGATGACAGACTCCCGTAACATCTGCCTGAGTGTAGTAGATAGAAGAGTCCTTGTGCTGGGTGAGTGTGGTCCTTAATGATGCTTCATGCTTTACGCAGACATCGGCTGTGGTAGATGTCCTGGATGGTGTGGAGACTGCTACCAGTGATGTCCTCTGCTGTTTGCACCACACTCTGTAGAGCTTTCCATCTCTGTCTGGTGCAGTTACCATACCACCTTGTGATGCAGCCTGTCAGCAGTACAGTAGGGTAGGGGGCGTGGTTCAAAGAAAAAAAAAAAACTTTCTTGAGACTAAAACTACCATAAATTCCTTATTTCTTCACCAATCCAGAAAATCTCTGTGTCCATGTCTTATTTTATTTGCGCTCTATCCATTGCATGTAAAAACAATAATTCATGGACCGATTTATTTTTTTTTGTTGTCTTGTACCTATCTGTATTTTGTTACATTTTCCAATCTGATGTCTGTTTTTGACTGTTGGCTTTGGAGAACATTAAGACTGCAGGTCTGTCATACAAATTGTGAAAGCAATGTACGCAGCACTGCCAGTATTGTTGTGATGTTCGTTTACCTTCAAGTTTCTTTGTGTGTTGTTTTCAATGGGGAAGCTCCTCCATTGTCTCACATTACTTCCTTCATTTTACAGGATATTTTCCATTGATGGTAGTGATGGAAAACACCACACAGCCCTCCAACATCCCCCATTATCTCCTGCGTGGAGACCCGTTTGCTTCAAGACTGTCCAGAGAGGCGGACTTTGTTGCAGCCATCTACATCTGTATTATTGGTCAGTCTCCTACACAGATTAACCCTTCCCCTCCATTTGTGTCAGTCAGACGTAATACAGATTTTCCACAAAATGTTTATTGAACATCATGTTCTTCAGCCTCCTTCAGTTTTTTTTTTTTTTTAAACTACACGTGTTGTTTGGGCGGAGAGAGAGAAATCAGCCATAGAAAAATTCATAGAAATGGCATTTTTTGAGTCCATCTCATAAAATAAAGCATTCCTTTTTTTTTTTTCTTCAATCTGATGAGTTTGAATGTTTCTACATTTTTTTGTTTGTTTTGGTTTTTGAATGTCCAGAGGACCAGACAACTTTTTTAGATCAACTCAATATACCTGTTTTGACAAACTTCATGTTTTTTGCACTCATACTGAAACTCATTACTCCTTGTTTCCACCCATTTCCTGGATATCCCAATGGCAGACCAGTAAAACTCTTGTGATTTGCATCACTCCCTTTTACAAACATGAGCTTTTCAAAATAAAACAAAATATGCGGCAATATTGCTGGGGCAATACTTTGGGGGCCAAGATGTGGTAGAGGTAGGGCAGCTGACCTGGGACCAGATGGTCACAGTTCGACTCCCAGCCATTCCCATATGTTGTGGTGTCTCTTACCAATACACCTAATCCCTAATTGCTCCACGGGCTCTTACATAGCTGCCCACTGCTCCACCTGGGTGTATCTCAGGTGTGATGGGTTAAATGCAGAGAACTGAGGTTCAGGGTTTCAGGGTCCTGGGTGGAGTGTGGTGGCAGTGGATTCATAATAATATAATAATAATAATTCAGAAGGACTCCTATGTTCAAGTCTTTGTGGACTTGGCGTCTGCCTTCAGTACCATGATCCCCCAAACCCTGATGGACAAACTATTCACACTAGGACTCCCCTCCATTTGCAGCTGGGTTCTAGACTTCTTAATAAACAGACTTCAGTAAGTGAGGATCCACAACTTCTCCTCCACCATAACCCTCAGCACTGGCTCTCCTCAGGGATGTGTGTTGAGCACTCACCTGTTCGCTCTGCTCATGTATGATTGTGCAGTTACTCATCCAGGCTGTGATATTGTAAAGTTTGCAGATGATTCAGCGGTGGTGGGATGCATCACAAACAATGATGAGTCCAGCTACAGGCAAGAGGTGGAACACCTGGAGAGCTGGTGCAAAGACAATAATCTTCACATCAATGTGAAGAAGACAAAGGAGATGATTGTGGACTTCAGAAGGAACAAACACACCTATCCCCCCCACCCACACACACACCCCAAACATAGGATGATCTGCAGTGGAAGTGGTCTCCAGCTACAAGTACTTGGGTCTACACATGAATGACAACCTCAGCTGGAGCAACAACACCACCAGCCTGATCAAGAAAGCTCATCAGAGACTCTACTTCCTCAGACGGCTGAGACGAGCTGGTCTGGGAAGCTCAGTCCTCACCTCCTTCTACAGGTGTGCAGTGGAGAGCATCCTGTGCTCCAGCATCAACGTGTGGCATGGAGGCTGCACAGCTACAGAAAGAAAAGCTTTGCAGAGAGTGGTGAAGGCTGCACAGAAGTCTGATGGAGTCAGTCTCCCCACCATCACAGACATCTACACCTCCAGATGCAGGAAGAGGACCACCTGCGTCAAGAAGGACCCCACTCACCCAGCACACACACTTTTTGCCCCGCTCCCCTCAGGTAGGAGGTTAAGGAGCATTAAGTGTAGAACTACTAGACTGAGGAACAGCTTCTACCCTGAAGTTGTTAAACTCATGAATCTCTAATCAGAATAATTACTGTGAAAAATCACATCATGTTGCTGCTGATCTGTTTCATGTTGCTGCTGATCTGTTTCATGCTGCTGCTGATGTGTTTCATGTTGCTGTGTTCATCAGTGCTCATCTGCTCACACAGACTCATGTGCGTGCTGCTGTTCAGCGTATTGTTTTTATGCTATTTTATGCTACTAGTGCTTAGTGTATTTTTATTAATATTTTTCTTAGTTCATATCTTAGATCTTATTATGGTTTTTCTTTTACATTTTATTGTTGGATCTAACTGGGACCCTGTGTACACAATTTAATTCCACCTCATGTACCACATGTGGTGCGAAAGACAAAGAATCTTGAATCCTTGAATAATGTGTGGCCCACAGGAATCAGCTTGGCTCGGTCAACAAAGAGATAGAGCAGGAATGGTCACATAGACCTGATACCTGGTCCTTGGCCCCTTCATGCCCACATATAGCAGTAATGTCATGTTAATATGGCATGATTGTGTATCATGTAGCTTCATCCTGACATATTATATCCCCTCTTCTAGGAGGAGCTGGAGAGTGTCACTGGGCAGAGGGTAGTCAGGCTCATCCTGGACCTGTGGCCTCTGCGACCCGACCACAGATAAGCTGTAGACGATGAATTTAAAAAGTGGTCCAAATATACTTCACTTCATTTCTAAAGTGCACTCCTGTAGATTAAATCATAAATGTAACGGAAGCTGCTGGGCAACAAATACTGTAGAGATTTACAAGATGTGCACAGAAATAGTTATATTCTATTAGAATGTCAGAAAGGAGCGACCCAACTCAAATGGAAAAAGTTCAAAGTTTGAATAGAGGGCAGTGCACATGTAGGTTTGAACTTTTTCCTAAAAACGGACATTACTTCTTCACCATGTCCTCCACAAGTCCTTGGTGCATCAAATTATGAACACTCACCAACATGGTGGTAAAAAATGTCTTTTAACATTAACTTCTTGTTTTCTAGTGATCTGAGTCCCATTTTCATTAGGACTAAATCCATCAGCAACAGAAGTGCACAACCCAGCGCCTGTAAACTCCAGGGATTAGTTTTTTATTTTACTTTTTTATTTACTTACCATGTCCTGGATGTCTGAAAATCTACTCCAACATAATGTCCTTAATCTTACTGTCTGGGAATCATCAGTCCATCACTCTTCTAGACACAGTGGTTGATCCTCTAAATGGGGTCAGATTTCCCAGAGTTTTTAAAATCCATAGTCAGAACTAGATGTAACATTTTATCACTTAAATAAACCATCTTGAGCTTTTTGACAACTGTCATGGGGCGAAGTGGGGAAATTAAAAATGCCCTCTGTCTGTCCGTGCATGTTCTAAGCATGTAACTTGAAAAATAAGTGAGGTACTCACTTCGAATTTAGTGTGTGGCTACATCTAGCATTAAAAAAAAATTAATATTAGGGCATTAACAGAGTATTCGAGTAATCTACACATCGATTGCTAGGACATCTATCGAGGTTAAAAATGTAACGTTGAGTATCCGTAGTGACGTCATATTATGTGACCACCGTGTGACCGTAGGGGGCAGTGTTGCACTGTTGCAGGTCACAGAGTATGGTGTAACACCGGGTCCATTCCACTGAACCAGAACCAGCTTCCTCTGACCTTGTTTCACAAACAAAAAGCAAAAAATATTAATCTCAAAACCTATTTAAAAAAAATCTATAAACATATTAATCTCTAAAACTAAATTTAATGTGCACCACAGCTGGCGGTGGTGCGGGGTGGTTGACCCCCCCACACAAACACACGTTTTAAGTTTCTGTTTTTGACGTTTCTTCACGTTTGCAGTTTAATAATAATAACTAATAGTTTAGTTTTTCCTGTGACTTATTTGCAGTATGATAAATGGTAGGAGCATAATATACGCTCCCAATGTTTTGTTGGTCTTTGTTTTGTAAATAATTACATTTTTTTGCGGTTTTATTTATTTTTGTATCTTGAGATCTATGACGTCATCAAATACTCGAGTTCTACTCGGGTTTTATTATGTTAATGTGGAGTTTAAAAATTATATACTCGTTCAACTCTTAGTTCATATCAAAAATTGGGCTTCCAGGTCAAAACCTAAGATGGCCATCACAATGGTGTCAGAAGCCTTTGTAATGTGGGGGGTCTGGGGATCCTCCCACACACAAAATTTGAATAAAGTAGATGCCATTTCCAGCATTCTGGTGTATTTTAACAGGTTGTTAAACATCTACGTTTATCTACCCCCACCCCCAATTGACAACTGTCAACATTAACATAGCACTAAGCTAGCATGCAACACAGAGGTGTCTCATCCCTCCTTCCCCTGCCCCGTTGACAAAAAACCCTGAAGAGATGAGCGCCCTGCCAAGACAAGTGACAGAGAAGAAACTATGAGGTGTAGTGAGTGGTTGTTGGTAACCAGTAAAACCCGGAGTAGACTTTTAGTTGTTTGAGTATTCTCCTATTAATCAAGTGCAATGGGTTTGTTCATGAAGAAATAGAAACAGCATTGGTTAAAATCATGGTAAATGCGGAGGGGTCCAAATGAACATTTTTTAAATGTGAGGGTGACACATCCTTTTCACATATCATTGCTGCGAAGCCTATGACCACAATATATATGTAAACCTTGTGAGCTGCATTACTTAAAAAATAAGCAACAGTCAAACTTCCTTTTTGATGTGTGGCTGCCTCGGACAAGAAAAGAAAAAAAACCCCAGAAAACGTCTACCTCAGTTCTTCTCCACAGTGTAACTCCTCTCTGCTTGAATATCTTGCATCAAAAACACTAAGTTCTATTTCGTATAGGCTTCGCCCTTTAAGGCTATCACTAGTGGGTTTATCCATACGTGCGCAGCGCAGCACTGAAAACTTTAGTCCACGCCCACCTACTGTGTGGGCCTCATCCCTGGTCCGTATAAATTATGGTGAGACCGGGTAATCGGCTCCCATTCTTTCTTCAGCCAGCTAGCTAGCACTGTCAGAATAACGAAGAAGGAAAAGTTGACCAGCTTTGACCGGCACAACCTTTGCTAAGGATGCCTGGGTCTCCGCCACGCCAACCTCCTGCCGTCCCGGTGAGCTCTTCCTCCCCCAGGAGAAGCAGACAAACAGCCTTGTTCAAGGTAAGCGCCGGGGAGTGCTTTTCTGTGGCGGGCCGCTGCCCGCTGGACGACGCCATCACCATTTCTAATGTTGTTTTCCTCACGGTAATTCTAATGATTT